ATTCTGTCCCCAAACTTGTGACTGATTTCATGACTAAGAGGTTTCAATTGGATTCAATAATAACCCATGTTTTACCTTTTGAAAAAATAAATGAAGGATTTGATCTTCTGCGCTCTGGAAAGAGGTAGAATTTAAGTCTTGAGTTTTTGGAGGGGGTTTTTTCATGGTGGTTGATTAACAGATAGACAAAAATTTCTTCAAAGATTTGAACTATCTGTGAGAAGATGGAAGGATGAGAAAAACATTAAATGCCTTGGTTTTTCAATACCAGTTCAATCTTTGCAGGTCAAACATGTAAGATCTTATTGTGAAAATTAGGTGACAGTTTCTTTGTATTTCCTATTCTGCTGAAATCAAATTTTGTTATAGTGATTCTGAATGATCAGAGCCTCTGCCTTCTTCATAGAACACACACCTCTGCCTAGAAAACAGAATCAGAGTCAGATAGTCATATTTATAGCATGGACCGTGCCCAGCCTCTGCCTGGCTGACCATTAATGGCTGTAAATTTAAGTTGTATCCAGGGTACCCCTAAAGATCTTATTATGGGAGTATTTAGAATTGAACTGGCCTTTGGTACTGTTTTCTGTACAAATATTACAAGGATTTCATTACTAGGTTTTTATTTCATTTTGCAGTTCACAAAGAAATTTTTACAAATAAAAATTACTCTAAAGAGGAAGGGTGCATTGTGCAGTTTTTAAATGTTTGAATCTTCCATTTTCTCCAAAGCTGAGGAAAACAAGTCATTCCCATTTCCTCTGCCTCTAACATTTATCGTTCACAACAACCTAATAAGGATTTTTGTCATCTGTGTGCATATGTGAGACATAATCAATAACAGGCCATGGTATTTAATTCCTACCATCTAGTTCCAAAGTCCTTTTATTTTCTGCTTCCTCACGTACTTCTTCTCCTAAGGTTTTTAACTTAATACACTATCTCTTAGACACCCACATTTTCTTATCAAATAAGGAAAGATTTAAAATAGTAAAACTCAATATTGGAAAGGCTAAGAGGACCTCAGCAGTTTTACAACTGCTTATAGATGTATTAATTGTTGCACCCTTTCTGGAAAGCCATAGGTAATTTGTATTAGATATATTTTTTTAAAAAAAAGCAAAACTGAAATATTTTGTCACAGCAGTTTTATTTCTGAAAATTTACTCTATAAAAATAATTAGATAAGCAGTTATATATCAATAAATATATATGTGTGTATGCTCAAAGATGTATACTTGTTATCCATAATATCAGAAATAAGGAACATCTTAAAAGTCCAACATTAAGGGAATAGTTAAATAAGTTCTAAACATGCACTAGAAATCAATAAAGTCACTAAAAGGAAATGTTTTCATTACATTGGGAAAATCTCATGATGTAATTTTAGGTTATAAAATAGAGAACACAAACAATATAACCCAAAACAAGAAGAATAACAACTGAATCTATACATATATACATATATATATATATACACACACATACACAGAGATATATATATTAAGTGTAGTCGGTTCTGACTCATAGCCACCCTGTATAGGGTTTCTGAGGAATGGCTGGTGAGCTTGAACTGCCGACCTTATAATTCAAACCAACTTTGCAGTCCAGTGCATTAACCTGAAGTGTCACACCAGAGATAGAAAGTTGATGAAAATTCAAGAAAATAATAGCAGATTATATAATTAAAGGTAATTTTTACATTTTTATATTTTCCTGTATTTTCTGAATTATCAGTGTATCTTTACATTATTACATATACATATAAATACATATATATAACTTAATTAT